AGAAGGTCGTTCCATATCTGACTCCAAGTCACAAGATCCTCACAAGAAAACTCGTCCAAGTTTATGAAAGCTATTGGGGAATTCATTAGACACAGCTCTACAAATCTTCCTTCTCACCTGATCGAAAGAGCATGCACAAAACTCCTTGCATGGTGAAGCCCAATGGTAGAAACTGCCTGCGTATGAATGAAACCTCAGTGAAATAAAAGGAATCTCTTTATAACACAAAGTGGTGTTGCCCTATCCATTTGATCTGGGGGATCCATTTATTTTACACAGCATTTTTGGAGTGTAGATGCTTCATTGCAAAGAGGTGTTAGTTAATGAGCATGGGGAGGGATATTCATGCGACTCTGAGTATACGTTATTACCCAATCGACGATTAAATACACTGCTTTTACGCTATTTTGTAGAAAACAGCATAACACGAATTATTCGTTTCGTATGAACTCAATGAGACTTACAGCGAATATCTTTGCACAGTATAAAACTGCTCTTCCTTTAGACAAACAGTAGCTTTAATTTATGCTAATACACTGTTTAATTTAAAGTGTAGAATATAGAACGTTAAAATAATCTAAATCAGGTGATTGGGGTCACGTGCTGCTCATCACAGTCATACATACTAAGATGAATTCATTGCTTTGGCAATAGCTTAAGTGTTGACTAGACATTAATCTAAGTTAAATACCTGGAGGTCAAAAAACTATTGGTCAATTCACTACCGTAGTTTCTGTACTGAAACCACTGCGGTGCTAAGTAAGTTCGGAAGAGGCAGAAGTTATTTAAGCGTTCAGCTGCTTTCCTTTGGTCGAAGTGGGTGTACCTCAGAAAGGCTAGTAGAAACGTGTCATCTACATATAAAGATACATAAAATTTGTCGGAATGAGTGTGACAGAAATTACGCTTAATAAGGCCTAACTCGTTTTGGACAATTATTTAGATTCTTATAATGTTTAAGGCGTGTAAAATTTATTCGAATGGGATGATATTAATATTAAAACTCTCCTGATATATTGCAACCACTTAGAAAAAGTCAATTGCCATAAATAGCGTCTAAATATCGTACCAATAGGGCAACGCAAAGACGGGGTCGCAAAGTACCATAGTCTAAAATTTTCCAACTGTTGGGATAGTTGTTTTGGTCTCTCCTGCAACTCGTCGACAGCCTTCTTTTTAAAAATATCAGGAATTATTGGATCTTCATAAAAAGGCGTAAATGGAAGGAATTGTGACGGTGAATTTGCCTTCGTCGTAACATTCCAAAAGCTCCATCGAAGCCTAAATTATTTTGATGGACGACTTTGGGTATAAGGATGGTAGGTCAGCGGGCATTAGTAGCAGCTTTATCCTTAAGGTGTCCTGTCAAATTGCTTGCACGTATAAATAAAA